CCGAGGGGCCCGCCCCCCCCAGCCTCACGCCGGCCTCCCAGGGTCAGTGAGGCCGGCTGCTGGACTCTGAAGGCTGCCGTTGGCGAGGAGGAGTGTAGCCATTCAGGTAGCCGTTGCTCTGGCGTTTGCTGAGTCCTCCGTTAAGAATGTCCTGGATGTGCTGCACTATCAGGTTTATGGCCACTGCGAGCAAAAAGGAGGAAAAGACATGGGGGAGACATTGGATTAGGGTCCCTGCAAATAAAACTGGAACCAACCCAGAGACAATGACCCTGCTGTCCCCCCTGCTCCTATCCCCTCCTACCAAATTCTGACGAACTGCAACCCTTGCGGGGAGGAGCTGCCCTCCCAGGACTTCATCCCTCTGCCCCGGCTGCGCCCAGCACTCAAGCCACTATGGTCAGGCTGATTCCAGCCAGGTGGAGACCCAGCTGTCCCAGCTGCACAACTGACCTTGGAGAAGCACATTTCCCTTTGTGTGGCATGAACCAGGAGTTTGCCTGGAGGCACTGCACATAGATAGGCCCCCAGGCTTGATCAGAGGAGCACAAACTCACAGTCACTAATGCTCCAGGCGGGAGTAAATGGGAGAGGCACGTGTGTGGTAACAGCATTCTCTTGGGTGGCGGTGGCCTGAGTCACCTCCATGGAAGGTCCTGCTACCTCCTACTTAACTCTGCTGCAACAGCAACAGCCCCAAGCCAGCTGCCAGGATGTAACAGCAGGGTCTGGGTCCACTCACCTTCATTATCTGCTCCTCTGGGAATGATCACGTCAGCATACTTCTTGGTCTGGGAGAAGAAAGCACACTGCGTTACAGGGAAAGTAGACAGCCACCACGCTAGGGCATTGTCCCTGCTTCCTGAGACAGGAAGTTTCTGACAGTTCTTCCCCTCCCCTTGCCAAACCCAAACCCGCTATGAGGTATATTGTTGCTGATAATACATTTTGGATGCTCTTATTTGTCTTCTGCTCTGTGTTTCGAGGGCCGTGCTTTGTGCCTCGACTCCATTTTCATGAGCTCATACAGATTCCAGTAAGAGACAGTAAGAAGCACCCTAACAAAACCTGAAATTAAAAAGCCTCATGATCGCAAGACTCCAGCAGCTGCTGCTTTTGGGAACAACCTCCCCGCTGAATCCAGGCAGACTTCGTACAAGAGCAAGAGTTGCTTGTACTTGTACAAGCTTGTACAACTAAGCTGGGCTGTGTAGACATGCAGGGCACAGCCATATGATCTGCTTGGGATGTGGGCAGAATTTTCTACCAGCACCATTTGCAAAAAAAGGTCTGATTTGGGACACCAGTCCTGGCCTATTTTCACCCGCAGGTGCCAGTCTCAGTTTCCTCCCCTATTTGTGTCAGCTTTTACAGCTGATCAGCTTCCTGACAGCCAAACTTTACCATCAGCAAACAAGCCAGCTGGCTAGGCAAAGGGCATCATCTGACACCTCCAGGTGCTTCCAGCCATACCAAAAATCACCAGGACATGCTGGACCATTTCAGTGCTGGACCACATGGCCGAGCTGGTTTAGGAGTCGAGTAACAGCAAGAGCGGGCGCTGAGCCTGCGACATCCACATGCAGCTGCACTGCAGCTCAGCCCACTACCGGGTTCGAATGGGGGCAGACCACCACAAAAGCTGGTGGGTAGGGATAAAGCAGTTTTCTACCCTCTTTTTTTCATATTTCATCCTTCTATAGACTCTTCAACAGGAGAGACTGATGCAACTTTGCTTTGCAAAGCTGCAGGTCTACCTTGCTGGGGACTTGCAAGGAGGGGAGCCACCAAGCTAGACCTGCCTCAGGAAAAACCTTTCTGGGATTACACTCTGGAATTGGACCTTGGCCCCCAAAGCCACAGTTGAATGAGACACAGAAAAGGGTGCTGCTCAGGAGCCAGGAAAAGATCTTGCAGTACAGAAAGAATCAGCCCCTCTTATGGGAAAGGGCAGAGCTGGCCACATAGGCACAGACATTCCTGAGGCTGGAGGCACAGGTTCAATTCTTGCCTGTGGTGTTGGGCAGCAGTTCCCAGGTTGCAGGACTCCACTGGCTCAGTTCCTCCAGAACAAGAAGAAATTCCTCACATGTCTGCTAGAAGAGCCTTGAGAACTAAGGCACGGGCTCCTCTCCACGAGAGCCAGGAGAGGTGTGCAATGGCTAGTCCTGCAAACGAGCTAATTCACCTGCAAGTCCTGCAGGACTGCAGTGGTCTCCCACATGCAAAGTCCCCGTCTACGAGGGAGCCTTGCCTCGCTTATCAGCTCCCGGAATAGCTTCCTCTCCAGACCAAGCGAGGTCTGTCTGCTCTACACCTTGGCCTCTCACCAGCCAGGAAATGCAACCTGCAAGGTCACATCCCACAGCACAGAGCGAAGGAAGAAGCTCCCCTGCTCTTCTAAGCATCCAGCCAGCAAGAAGCCAGCAGTACTGCAGAGTGAAAAGGGCAGACAGGGCAGCCCAAAACAGGAGGCAGACACAGCAGACACCTCCTGGGGGTAGGGATCTACCCTTCCCCAGCTAGAAGCAGCCAAAGGGTCTTCCTTCTCAGGCTGGCATCTGCTGAGCTGCGTGGTGTCAGTTTGTCAGACCCTGTGCAGGGAGAGGTTTCTCTTGCCCTGTCGGCCTTCCCATGGGGTAAGGTGATCTCACCAGGAAGGCAGTGGCTGTATAAATAGTCCCCCATCTCACCCTGCCCCAGCCAGCACTGGCACTCCCATTTTTTCCAGTGCCTGCAAGGAGGGACCAAGGTGAGGCAGGCTGACCTGAGTTCTGGGGCACAAAATGCTCCTGTCTGAGGAGCTGGGCAGAGTATGAGGCATTTTTGGCAGACTCCCATGGGTGTCACTCCCCTTACTTACTGGCAAACAGAACTCCTCAAAGGCAGGCTTGACAAAGGTGATATACTGAGATAAGATCTGCTCAAGGTCCCTGCCTCGCTCGCTGATGTCTCGTAGCACTGTGGGAAGATGTAAGGCACAGTCAGAAACCAAGACATGAATTGCTCCATCCCCCTTCCCTTCAGTACAGCCTTTGGCCAGCCACCCAGGTATTTTGCCCAAGGTCTCTGTTCCTGGAAGCTGCTGTCCACATGTCTGAGCACACCCCACCCCAGCTACATGCTTTTAACCTGCTTCCAAGCTTTCCCAGGAGCCAAAGGCTGGCTGACTTGACCAAGGGCTTTTCTTGGTCTCCCTCCCTTCTCAGCTCTGCAAGCACGTTGCAGCTGTAACCAGTGCCACCCCAGTCCTGACTACACCCAGCCTCAGCCCTTGCATCCCTACTGTCACTCTGCCCTGCCCTTGGCCTAAGGATGGGGCATTCTCCCAGTCACCCCAGTGCAGAGGCGCCCAAAGAATAAAAAAGCAATGGGCTTCGCCAATACACACATTAAGGCACAGTTTAACTCAGGTCTGCAGAGGTGAGGCGAGTAAAGCTCACCCACCTACCCAGCTCTACCAGGCTCCTTGTGCTGTCGCCAGCTGAGTGGGATGAGAAGACAAAGCAGGCTCCCACTACCAGAGGCTGAGGGGGTGCTTGGAGGAGATCAGCTCAGGAGAAAGCCGAGAAGCGGGAGCGCAAGCTGGCCTCCTGCTTGTTCTGCCGTTCGGACCTTACACTCTCTTTGCACAGGGTATTTGGGCCAGTGCCATCTCCAGTCTGAAGCCACTTCAGCGTGGACAAGTGCCTCAGTTCAGTAGGAATTCAATCCATGGGTTAAGAGCCAAAACAGCCCTGTGGCCGAGCAGATGGCTGATGGCTCTTGGCTCTCCCCAAGGGGCTGGCTGGCTTCTCCCCAGTGTGCTAGCGCGCCTGGCACTGGGTTCGGAGTGAGCCTTCTCCACGTGCCGAGCACAGCCAAGCCACAGCACTGCCAGCCTGCATGACCTGCTCGGCAGCCGCTGCCCGTGTGCTCGCAGGGCCAGAACAGTGCTGGTTTGGCACCATCCCCGTGGCTCTGTTTGCCCTCGGCCAGCAGCTTCGCAGCGTGCCTCCCCGCACAGGGGAGGTGATGGTGATGGGGGGGAGAAAGGGCTGGCAGCAGGATGTGTGCCAGACCCCTGCCTGCCCCTCGAAGGGCTCAGCCCCAGCCCAGGCTGCTCTAGCCAGCTCCTCGCCTTCTCCAGAGAGCGGGAGCAAGCCCTAGCTCAAACAATACAGAAAAACAGGCAAGGAAAATAAAAACAGAGAGACTTTTGTTTCCCAGGTCCCACACCCTGTTTGTTGGCTGCTCTGGGGTGGGGAAGGAGCACAGCGAGGGTGTATTTACAGCACACCCGGCCTGGGACGGCGTGCGGGAGGCCTGCGAGCTGTGAGTGCCCAGGCTGCAGGGGCTCGTCCCGACGGGACACACTCCCCTGCCCGCCCTCAGGGCAGACCCCAGCGGGGCAAGACCAGCTGGCTTGTCCTAAGGGCACATCGGCACCCGTTCAGAGTGAACCCAGCGGGCAGACGTCACTCAAGTCAGGCCTGACCCATGCACGTGACACCTGACCTGGTCTTTGTTTTACAGAAGCTGGCTGAGGACAAGGCAGCAAGGGACCTCAGCCAGAATCAGCTTTGCACGGATCAGGCTGTTTGAGGCACCCGGCAGACCTTGCCCCTTGTGCTCTGGTGGCAGCATTTTTCTTGGGAAAGGTGCCGAGATGGGGACAGTGCAAGTTGCACATACTGAACCCCCGCACTATTTGATTAACTGAGCTGTCAGCTACATTTCCAGGAACCTCACCTCCTGCTGCTGCCCAGCTGAAGAGCCCATTCCTGCAATTGCTCAGGACTTCTGGGAGAGCAAGATGACTCAGGGCCATGTCGCAATGCAAGATCCCGACTTTTGCTACAAGCTGCCTCCAGTTATGTTCCAGGGACATGATTATACCTTCAGCACCTCACACACAGGCTCTCCTTTCCCAGAAATGCCAGAGACACATACAGTAAACAGACTTGCTGCTGCAGTGGAACTACCAACTGCTGATGGCAGGCCAGGAGACTGCCAAATGGTCAGTTCCCAATCAGGAGTCCGATGAGTTGCCCTAATTAGGAGACACCAGCACCTCAACCAGCCTAGCTGCCCCTTTGCAAGGCTTTAGCGATTGATGGTGGGTGGGGGAAACACCCCAAGAACGGCCTGGGCACATGAGGCTCAGGTCCCTGCCCAACAGCTGCAGCACAACAGGGTTTAGCTCTGTTGTGGTCTCTGTTCTTAGTCAATGGGACCCCAAGCAGTTCTCAAGCCCTGAGCTCACAGTTCTGTACCAAGTCCAAAGCGACTGAACCACAGGCTTCAAAGTACAACTGGGATGCACACATGGTCATGTGGCACTGCAAATGCATAAGGCAATGCCTTGCCTTCAGACAGCTGATACAGGGCACTGCCAAAAACGTGCTACCCCGTGGCTGGGTGTGAACCCAAGATCCTGCGCAGCACAGAATGCTTAGGGGATAAGGCTCACATTGCGAGATCTTGCAAATGCGTATCTGTGACCTACTAATACGTCTCCCTGCAATGACTGTGCTGTCACCTCCCTGGATGAGTCATGCAAGAACAGAGGGCAGGGTCAAGAAGGATGTGTAACAAGGAACTTCTAATCAGCACGGATGACATCCCAACAGCGGAGGAGGCTGTGTATCTGTCTGACAGCAGGAGGGCAGGCGAGACCAGTTCCATCGCAGAGCGGAACAGTCCCATGTACACAAGCAGTCCCAGGCTGATGCACTGAGACACACTCTTCTCATCACAGCACAGAAGTCTGGACAGGACCTCTCCTCTAAGTCATCTTCTGTGTTCCCAAACACTCTGTGGAGGCTCTCAGAGACAGGCAGAGGTAGGGACAGTTCAGACAAAACTGAATTCTGCCCCAAGAGTCCCCAGATGCTTTCTTAGTCATCCAGGAGACTCAGGTGCTACATCAGTGACCCCAATCCTAAAGGCTGCTTTGAAATGAATGGCATCTCAAGCCATGCAGACCCTGCAGAGCTGGAGTCCCTCCTTTGTCAGCTGGCAACCCACAGTCAAGCCAGCCGGACATGGGGAGCCCTAGAGAAGGATATTCTGGTTTCTAGGGCTTTTTGCCCCCAAAGTCATCACCCCAGTGCCAAGTACCACAAAGAGGCTCCACGCTGCGCTGGCTGTGCTTGCGCAGACCAAGATGTACAACCAGACTCCCTGTCTGCATCATCCACGACAGACACTCTCACACCCAAACGCCATCCTCAGAGCACACCCATACCCCAAATCCTGGGCAGTTCCATCAAGCACTGCCTTCTGACTGAACTGTGGAGATGCTTTGCCTTGGCCATTCCACCCTTCCTTGCTGGTACCTACTGACCTGCGGAACAGGCTGCCCAGGGAGGTAGGGGAGTCGCCATCACTGGAAGTGTTCAAAAAACATGTAGACATGGCACTTCAGGATATGGTTTAGTGGGCATGGTGGTGTTGGCTTGATGGTTGGACTTGATGATCTTAAAGGTCTTTTCCAACCTTAATGATTCTGTGACCAGCAATAGCTGCCATACAGCTGATGGCACAAGGCTGGTGCCACGGGGCCATGTGAGGACACAGCACACAGTAGTCACACTGCTGCATGCATCAAAGGAGGAATCCCAGACAAGGCAGCAAAAATCCCACTGAATCCTAACAGACATGGAGCAATGTGCTCACCACAGCCACAAGCTGCCCTGTGTGACATTCTGCACTGGGGAGGAAAAGCTCCCTGGCTCTTCGCTAGCAGCAACACAGCTTTGTGCCCATCCCAGCTCTGGTCACTCTCACCTGCCTCTGTGCCCAGCTGCCCAGATCTGTTAAGTGACATTTCTGTCCCTGCTGCACAAGGCATGTTCGAGCCTCACCTCTGCGGGACAGCCGGGTGTCTGCGTCCGTGTCCACAAAGAGCTTCATGCGGAAGAGATCCCGCACCTCCTGGCTGTAGAAGGCCAGGATGCCTTCAAAGAGCACCACGTCGGCAGGGTAGACGGTCACCGTCTCCTCTTTCCTAGCAGAGGGAAGGAGAGTCAGAATATGCTGGTGGGGGGAAACAAGCCAAGAGAGGTGGGGGGAAACAGCAGTGCTCCTAGGCACTGCTCCAACCCTGGGACATCACTGCTGCACCAGGGGGACGACCAAGGAGAGGGCAGACCTACCCCACCATGGTGAAGGGAATCCAGGGCATACGTACGCTTCCTAGAAGGACAAACAGCAGAGCAGGAAGCAGACTAGCCCTTCTCCCCTGACCTCGGCCAGCTGCTGCTTGCAAGTGTTATGCGCCAAGCCATAAAGCCCAGAAAGCCTACGCATGGGGCTTGACCCACAGGAACCTGCAAGATCCAGCTCTGCTCCCCTGGGAACCAGGCAGCGCTCCCCTGATACCACAGCGCTTTTGCAGGAAACGGAGCAGGGTCACACCATCCAACACAGGCATGCAAAAACAAGCTGAACACATGCAAGGGAAAAATTACAGGAGCAAGAACTGCAGTCTTCCTTATTTCCTGGCAGCACCAGGCTGTTTGAGCCTGGAATACTTGTTAAAGCTGCAAACAGAGTTTATGGGGAGAGGAAGTGCGGATGGGGGAAGAAAAGGGACACCATAACCCCCCTCCACTGATGTCTGTATGTTGCTGGATGCCACTGCCTGGCTGCACAGCTTTCCAGACCCTTTTTCAGATTGTGCCTGTATCTGCCCTGGATCCGCTAACCAAGGGGTCTGGAGTGAGATTGAAACTTTCAGTTGACACATTAGGTGCTTAAGAGCGGGTGCAAGAAGAGGGGCAGGTGGTTTGGGCTGGCAGGGCTGCGTGCTGCGCCGCAGGGCGTTAGCGGAGGCACAGCAAGGCAGGAGCGGCTGTTAGACCTGGAGTGGGAGACAAAGTCATAGACAGGAATCTGGACCGTCTTCCCTTCCGTGATCTCTTTGAGCGTTTTCACGATCAGCTCGTTGTCGAAGGCATCTGAGGAAAGATGAAACGTTACCTGAGGCAGCTTTGCAACCTCTCCCACCCACCGGACACTGAGCCTAGTTAGAGCCACTGGCACCCTGCACTGGGGACAGACGCACAGGCTCAGGAGGAAAGCCCTGCATGTCCCCATGGGCATAGTAAGGCCCAGCTCTCCTGGAACCCCTGGGGCTTCCTGGCTTTGCACCAGCCTGGGATCTGGCCCACAGAGATCAATACCGCCCTTGTACGGTGGCGCTGACAGCCCGGGCTCGGGAAGGCATCTCCTCCAGGGCTCCAGCCCTCGGAGAGACTGGAGCAGTGTTTCAGCCTCGAGCCACCGGACAGACAGGGCTCTGTTTGCTTGGTGCTCACTGCCTCCGGCCATTGTCCTCTTGGGAGGAAAGGGACAGAGACTCTGGAATTTCCCCACCAAGCCGGGAGATGGTTCAAAGAGCCCCTGTTGTAGCAACAGGGCATGGCCCCCTCAGTGGAGGGGTTTGTAGAGCAGCTGCACAAGATGGTTCCCTCCTTCAGGGAGGGACACGAGCTGCTGGCTCCAGGGGGCTGTGCCAGGCCAGATCTTCCTTGTCCCAACCCAGCTGCACCAGAAAGGCTTTGAAACCGGGGGATGTTTTTGCAGGGAGAAGAAGAGCTTTTTTGAGCGTCTTAAGGAGTATGAGGCTTCACAACTTGCACTTTCTCATCCCAAACACTCCACCCCAGAGGCAGTTTCTTTCCCAAGAGAGACAGAGATTGTACTGCAGGGGACACAGGAGGCCCCCAGCCACCCTGCCAGGGATGCAGCTGGCTCCACAGGAGCTTAACTAAGCCACTCACTCCTGCCCTCGCTCCCCCAGGGAGTGGCAGAGCCCTGGTGCTGTTCTCCATTCACCTGGGTGGTCAAAATTGAACTGGCCTTTGAGTGCTTTGGATTTCTGCTCTGAGGTGAGGACCCGGTAGAAGCTGTCTTGGCTCACGATCACCACCTGCTTCTGGCGGTAGTCCACCTCGTTCTGGCCCAGCAGCTGGACAATCTTGGAGCATACTGAGGACTGGGAAAGGAACAGCAAAGAAGGCAAGTCAGCAGCAAGTGGTGTCTGAGCCACGCAGGTAGGATGTCCCCAGGTAAAAGCCATTCCTGGGTGCATGGGACACTGCTTGCTGGACCTCCAGCAAAGAGTTCATGGTCCCCTCAAAGACACTGCCCAAAGCCACTGAGGGAAAGGTGCTCCAGAGGCATCATCGTGGGGCCCTTCAGTGTGAAAGCAGCACCAAGTTTGCTCCCTGCCTTCCTCTCCTCCGTCCCTATGGCCTGCCCACAGCTCCTATTCTGAGCACAAATGGCAGCAGTAAACCAGCTGGCTGCTGCCTGGGTTCCGCCGCACCCCCAGGGCCCCCGCGGCCAGCTCCAGCCTGCCCAGCAGCTCCCCAGGGAGCAGAGCTGTGTGTGGCACCAGGGCTGAGCCTTCTCCCTGGGAGGCAGCCTCAGTGCCCTGGTTCCTCCAGCCCTGGTCCAGCCCAGGAACCCCA